ATTATATTGATAATTACCTCGGTTTAATATAAGAGATAGATAATTAATTTGTAAATATTTAAAAAATAATTAAATTAATTATTTGTAATAAATAAAAAATATCCTTATTAATTATATGTATTTGAATTACCCTTGATAATAATTTATTACCATGTGTAATTACCATAGGAATTACTTGAGAGAAAAATAAATAAATATTAGAAACAAAATAAATCTAGATCTTATAAATATATATATATGGTTAAATTAATTCTCTAACTAGCTATTGTTTTAAGAACATGCAGTACGTTTTTTATTATCTTCATCTATATATATGCAATACAAAAAATCTTTCTTTCACATTCTTTTCTGTGAAGATGAATTTTCTTGTTGGACAACAAATAAACATAATAGTAAAAATTACTCCGGGACAATATAAATGAGAAGGTTATATATACAAGAAAATAAGAAGCACTAAAAATTTGAGGAAATTGTTTGTATTTTAGATTATTTTTTATCAATCAATATGCGTTACAAATTATAGGAACTCTCACTGTTTATATACATAGGGTTTTGTAATTTTTTTTCTTCATTTTTATATTTTCCTATCTTCATTTGCCAGTTTCAACATATTCATGTATGATGACATGAATTTTAATTAAAATGTGTTGAAGCTATAATTTTTGTTCTTTTCCTTTCTTTTTTACATTTAAAAAAATAATTAAGGTCTATTTTCACTGTTTTTGAAATTCGTTTATTTTTATTCTTGAAAACTACTATCTCCGATTTTTAATATAAAAACTAGTTTGACTTTCGATTTGGCCCTAAATATAAAATTTCAATATATTTTGTCTTTCATATTTATCTATTTTTTAAAAAAGTTTTTGTAGTTAGTTGTACATGTTAAAGATTTTATCTAATAGTAGTTCTATTTAATATACATAATTGGCAAGGATATTCTAGAAAACACAGTAAATATTTATTACAAAAACCTAACTTAACAAACTCATTTAATCTGCTTAAATTAGTCAACTAACTTTTATATTAAACATTGATGGTGATAGTTGCTGGTGTTGAAGATATGGCAAAGAAGAAATAAAGAAGCTTCGTATAATAAGAACAAAATTCAATTGCCTGTAAAACATAGTAAATTACTATTCATTTAGCCACTTATTAAGACTTTTTGTTAGCTTTGCGTTTGATGAGTTTAGATAAGAATTCAAAACAAGGTTTTATTTAGGTAACTTCTTTTCCTTTCTTTTTTTTTTTTTGGCCAATTAGGTAACTTCTTTTACTATAAGGAAGAATTATCATTAGAAGGAAAATCAACAATCGATGTCAAACTTTCTTTATTTTTATTTTCATTTTTGTTATGTATGGCCATTATTATATATTACCTCCAGTTTTAATTATAAGACCTCATTCATAATTTATAAATAGGGTCTTATAATTAGAACAGGAGGTTGTATTATTTTTTGAATCTTATTGGCATAGTTAGAGTTAGTAGACAAATACTTGGACTCATCTAAAAGCCCTATTAAATTTTAAATTTGTCCATTTATTGAAATCTAATCCTTTTTTATCAGGCACAAGGTCGGATTCGAAAGCCTAAGTTTTATTTTTTAAAATGGTCTAAGTGCAAATTTATTTTAGAAGTTTTTGTTTATAAATGCTGGGTACTTAAAAGCTTTTTTGACACAAATTTGCCAAATTGCTCTTTGCCATTAAAAAACTAATTTAATCATTAAAATAATGATATTGACTGATAATATTATTAATAGTTGAGGACAATATTACTATGATTTTAAATTTTTAGAACAAATTTGTATCAAAAATTTTTTTTTGGGTGCCTAAAGCTCTTTAGCAAAATCTTTTAAAACAAATTTACATCTTAACTTTTTTTTTAAAATTAAGTTTTGTATTACTACATTAAATATCAAAATTTTAAGGGACCAAATTAAAATAAAGAGTAATATTATAAGTTAACGAAAATTTAAAAATTTTCAATTTAGTTATGATGATTGATTTGGAATTTTAAAAATTCATGACATTTTGGGTTTTGAAATTCAAATATCATTTTCGTGGAATTTCCCAAATTTTAATATAAAAGTGTAAATCTCACTTTTTTAAAAATTTTGTGGGATTTCCCAAATTTCAATTCTTTTGAAAAAGAAATTTAAAAAGCAATCACATTCTTAAAAAAAATATTTTTAATTATTTTGAGCAAGTTTCCAAAAATAAAAAAAGAGAATGTTAATAAAAATTTAACGACATACAGATATATTATAAAATCTTGAAATTAAGAAATAAAATATTTTTGACTTTATTAAATGCAAAATAAGCATCATTCATATTAATACTGAAGCAATTCTTTATTTCTCTCAAGGAAAAATTATTTCGCTGATACATATATTTTTATCAATTTTTAATTTGTGACTTTGTTGTATTCTGTTTTTATAAATATTTTAATTTTGATCTATTAACATTAAAGTCTTCCAGCTTTGTCCAGTTAGTATTCTTAGTGACGTTAAAAAATGCAAATTAAACAATCTATTGATGTTAACAATTCAAGCACATTTTGTTTTCTTTTGTTTTCTTTTTTTCTAAAAAAAGTTTTCACCTACTGTTTTCTTTTTGGTTTAAAACAAAAGCCAAATACCCGCACTTTCGTTCAGGAAAACGAGGGAGAAAGATCACACAATCGTGATCCAATTGGTCTCCGCCAACCTCAGCGCTCACCGTTTGATTTGGCCAACACCATAATATTATAATAATAATAATAATAAGGGCTAACATACTTTTTTTTTCTTAAATTTATTTTTATTTTGATTTTAGTTTCTCAAATTATAAATCTTAAATTTTAATCCTTTAAGTTTTTTTTTTCAATTTAAAACATTGATTCTTATAATTAAGTAAAAACTGAGATCATTTTGCTATTTAAGAGTCAAAACCTATCACTTGGAATTTGACGGATCAAAACCAAAATAAATAAAAAAAATTGATGGATAAATATTATATTAACTTAATAATAATAAAAGCATATTCCAAGAAAATCTAAACAAGAATTAAGAAAATGTTTTAACCGGGTCAGCGTGTTACTTGAGGGTTAGGTATGTCATCATGAAAAATAATATTATTCTATTAAAATATATAAAATATTTATATTTGATTATGAAAAAGTAATATTTAAATTAAAAGATATAATAAAAATGTTAATAAAATATTTTAAAATATTTATATTTATCTTTTTTAACTAATTTGATTTACCTATAAATTGATATATAATAATACATATAAATATTTTTAAAAAATAATGTAACATATGTTATAATTAAATAATTTATTTTTTAAACTTTTTTAAATTAATTAATTGAGTTTTATATTAATAATAGAAGACAATAAAATTTAACTTGGTCAACCCGTACAGCCCCCCAAGATTGCCGTTGGCTTGGGTTGGGATCCCATCGGGTCCCTCGTCCCAGTTCAGATTTGAATAGATGCGTGTTTACATACACTGACGTAATCTTATCAAGGCAACATAATAGTATCAAATCAATTTTTAATTCTACGCACATGGAGGAATATTCAAGATTACATAATTGTTTTAGTGATACTTATTAGAATTAGATAGCAGGTCTTATGTCAATTGCCAAATACTGGGGACACATTTTCTTAAGTCGAGAATTATTTATTTACAATTCAGGATAAAAGAAGCAATTATTTACCAATGATTTTTATATGACTTTTGTAATTTAATAATCAGTATTATAAATTTTTAATTTTTATATTAATATAGGAAAAATTCTGGGAAAAAGATTTGATAAATTTTTAAAACAAATAAAATATTAATATTTTGCAAATTTTGTATTCGTATTTTGATTTAAGTTTTTTTACCAATAAAATTTTCAACGAGAATTTTCTCAAATTTTTTCTTAAATATACTTATTTATAATTAATATATAATAAATTCTATAAAAATTATACTATTTATAAATTATAATAAATTAAATTATCTTTTTTTTAATTCGACATGATTCATGAAGAATTTTTAATATAATTTATATTTCACAAACAAAACATAATATATTGACACGTTTATTTCAAGGTACTATTACATTTTATTTGTCGCAAAAAAAAAAAACCATTTTTTGTGAATTATGAGTCTACATTCCGATAAACGACTTTAGAATTTTATATAAAAATTTAAAAACTTAAAAATTTAAATGATTTTATTATTGGAGTCCTGTGGATCAACTATATTGCGCAAAAGCTTAAAAATGAATTGTATGTCTTGTTAAAAATGCAGTTTGAAGTTTTCATATCCATAAATGCATACTTTCCCCCGTTAATTTTATATACACACACACACAGTGACTTTTAACTACCACAGCAAAATTAGAATAAGATAATAAAAAAAAGATTATCTTACATTTATATCATTTTTATTTTTATCACCGATAAATATTATTTATAAGTATCTTTATATTATATTAAAATGTGGTTAGGAAAGCGTATATGTAACAAATAATTGAACGCAGTATGAAAAAAAAATGAAAAATAACTCCCATAACTTTTTTTCCACCTAAAGTGGAAACGGAATATTTCTAATTTAACTTGTTTTGTTTATTAAATTAGAGGCATGAACTTACCACTAAGATTTTGATGAGAAGAAATGACTAATTAGCCCCAATATTGTATCTTTCCCAACTAATTGGGATTAGTTGAAGTGTGATATTGTTAATAACACAATCACCAAACCCGGCAGCCTCCTCTTCCATATTAAGGCAAACCATCTTCAGGTCCCGACGGCCTCGCCTTCCTCTCCTTCGCGGTTTCGACCTGTACGCTTGGTGTGCCCCACCTGCCCTGCGACCGGTTAGGACCCTCGTTGTGTGTGTACGGTCATAGGGAAAGGAGAGTGAGCCCATCCAACAACCCTTGAAAGCGCCATGTCCTTTTCTCTCTATCTATCTCTCTCTTCATAATTGGCTCGTACGCACAGTTTCCTTCGGGAGGCCACTGTCGCAGTCACGATAATTTGATAATTTCTCTTCCACACCCTTCTCTCCTATCTATAAAGCAAACCCATCTCATCCTCTCATTCCCCGTCTCGCTGATTCACTCATCGCTCAGAATTTCAATTCCCTCCATCGCCGAGTTCGTTCGAGCAATTTTTCCTTTGTGGGTTTTGTAGAAATTGGGTTATAGGAGAAGGGGATTCTCCGGGAAAAGAGAAGGAGAAACAAGAAGAGCTGTTTGGTGGGATAAAACCCGGTGTGGACGCGTTGTAGACATCACGGCTATTCTCAGAGTATTTCGGCCTCTCATTCATGTCCGAGCTGTACGACGTAAGGGTTGTTTAACTGCAGCTTGCAACCCTTCGCCGCACGGCGGGCGTGGTGCTTTGCCGTCTGAAGGTGGTAGCCCTTCTGACCTCCTCTTCCTTGCTGGTGGCGGTGCTTCTTTCGTTTTTGTCTCATCTTTAGTCTAATATTAGCTTAGAGTTTTCTAGTTGTTAGACATATTAAGCTAAAGCTACTGAAGTCTGTGAGATCGAACTTGTTGAAGCTGTTTTTTATTGTTGGGTTTGGCTGTTTTTATTTTTCTGGGAAAAAGGGGGGGGGGGAAAAAAAAAACAGAAGCCAAAATGTTGAGCATCAAAAGAGTTCCCACCGTTGTTTCTAATTATCAAAAAGAGGAGGGAGGAGAGGCTACGCGCCGTGCAGGTGGCTGTGGCCGTAATTGCCTGAAAAGTTGTTGCATTCAAGGTATTTGTCGAAATGCTTTGTATTATATTAAAGCTTTTTCTTTTCCTGGTCTGCATGCATGATATGTTTGATTGAATTTTGGTCATGTGGATGCTTTTGAACAGATGCAAAGCTTCCTTTGTATGCCTTCAAAAAGGCTAACAAGGTCGTTGGAAAGGATGAAGGCAAGGAAGCCCCCGTGGCCTTTCTGGATTCACTGATACTTGGGGAGGTAATAATGCCTGTCCAATATGAAGATTGGTTATCAAGTTTCGTTTCATTTTTGTAATTCTGTTATCATATGTTTTGAAATTGTTTATTATTTCATGATAGTGGGAAGATCGCATGCAGAGAGGGCTTTTCCGCTATGATGTAACTGCCTGTGAAACCAAGGTCTAGTTCATTTATTTGTTTGTTTATTTGCTTTGGCCTATATATCAAGGTCTAGCTTATAGTGTTGAGTTATTGGGATCGTTGTGGTGTGCACCAGGATATCTATAAATTTAATTGGTTTCATGTTTTTATGACATATTATTCTGTGCAGGTGATTCCAGGAGAGTATGGTTTCATTGCCCAGCTGAATGAGGGTCGCCATCTCAAGAAGCGACCAACTGAGTTCCGCGTTGATAAGGTCCTCCAGCCCTTTGATGAAAACAAGTTTAACTTCACAAAAGTTGGGCAAGAAGAGGTTCTGTTTCAATTTGAAGCTAGTGATGATGGTGAAATCCAGTTTTTACCAAATGCGCCCATTGATGTGGAGGATTCTCCTAATCTTGTTGCCATCAATGTATGTTTCTTGAATTTCGTTTGGCTTCTTGTTCTTGTAGGTTAAAATTTGAATGAACAGTCTGTTTGATGCTGTTCATAAATTTATATGCTCTCTTAACAGGTCAGTCCTATTGAATATGGGCATGTACTGCTGATTCCTCATATCTTTGAATGTTTGCCACAAAGGATTGATCGTGACAGCTTCTTGATTGCCCTACACATGGCCGCAGAAGCAGGAAATCCATATTTCCGATTGGGCTACAACAGTCTGGGTGCATTTGCAACTATTAACCACCTTCATTTCCAGGTACTAATTGCTAAACAACTTACAATGATCATCTAATTATTGATAGTTATTGATAATGTTTCTTATCTAGCGGGCATTCAGTAATCAAATTGCTAATTCGATAATTTTGATGTGCTTAGGCATACTATTTGGCTGTTCCTTTTCCCATTGAGAAGGCTCCTACTAAGAAAATAACCAAATCAAATGGTGGTGTGAAGATATCTGAATTGCTGAAGTATCCAGTCCGAGGCCTTGTGTTCGAGGGTGGCGATACACTAGAAGATCTGGCCGACACTGTTTCAGACGCCTTTATCTGCCTTCAAGATAATAACATACCTTACAATGTTCTTATTTCTGACTGCGGAAGGCAAATCTTTCTCTTACCACAGGTCTAAGATAGCTCTTCAACTTGCCTTGTTTGATTAAAATCTAATTATTGCTGTTATTTGTAATGATGAATTCCTCAACTTTCTGCCGTATGAATGGACAGTGCTATGCAGAGAAACAAGCTCTCGGAGAAGTAAGTGCTGAGCTTCTGGATACCCAAGTGAATCCTGCCGTGTGGGAAATCAGTGGGCACATGGTGCTGAAGAGGAAGAAGGACTATGATGAGGCATCTGAAGCAAATGCTTGGAGGCTTCTTGCAGAGGTCTCCCTTTCAGAAGAGAGGTTTCGTGAAGTCAATGCTCTGATTTTCTCAGCCATTAGTGCCTCTCATAAGGTGGATATTGAGCCTCAGTTTCTCCATGAAGCTAATGCAGTTAGCTCAACTTCCCACCCGGCTCTGGTGGCTGGTTCACAGGAGTGTCTTGTTCTGCAGTGACAAGGATCCAGCGACTTCTGTGGCACAGATTTCATGGATAAAATCGTGGTGCTTTCTGTAGTAAACTGCTATGTTGTGGTGTTTCAGTTTAAAACAGTACCTTACTGGTATGTTTGTAGTTGCTTGAATCAGCAGGGACCTAGTTTCTGTTCTGGTACTGTGAGGGTTTAGGTTCCCAAAGATACGGTATTATGTGTGTTCTGATTTTAAGTAAATTAGTGGTGTGCTGGTATGCGGTACTTCACGGCCCGTTTAAAACTACATTGTAATGAATAACTCCTCCTGGGAGCTTATTAGCTTATTAGTTTCTGATTATGTGTATGATAATGTCTATTTACCAATAAAAAAATGTAATTTATATTTTAAGAATACTTTTATTTGTCAAGAAAGAGTGGCTCTGTAGAGAATTAATGTGGTGAGAGTAATTGGGATAAAAAAGAACTAATCATTTCAGATGGGGTATAGCGTTTTTTTTTTTTTGGGGGGGGGGGGAGTTATAATACTTTTCTGGTTTTTAATGTAAAACCTAAAATGAATAGAGAGTTAATGTTGGTCATAAATATAAGCTTTATTTTATATAATTATCAATTTTTTTAAAAATTAATTATATTGTATTTTTTTAACAATAATGAAGTAGAGAAGGGAGGAAAAAAATTAAAAATATGTTTAGGATGTTTTAAAAAAAACATTATATTAACTAATTCAATAATCTCTTTAATATATTTAATTTAATTAATTAGATTTTATATTAAGGATTGATAAAGAATTTGTTATACATGGGACTCGAAGGAATATTTCCTTTCCCTCTGGATTCTTTCTGTTTTTTGGGGCAAATTTCTTCTTGGACTCTAGAGCGAATATTTTTTCCATATGGGTTTTTAGGGAACGATTTTTTGATATTTGGTGTTTCTAGCCAAGTTAGATTCTCGTGTTGAGAGGCTCTGAACGGTGGTTCAAAGCACCAAATTCGTTTTGGTTAATCGATAAGGCATTGGCAGTATATTCAACTGAATAGGATTTTGGGACAAAGGGTGAGCTGTTGCCTCTCTAAACCTTAGTCGTGGCTAGCATCATTGAACTTGGCCTCACCCCGCCGTCTTCCTATCACTCTCTTTGTTTACATCAATAGATACATAGCCTCAAATATGATTTGTTATCCGGACGAAGGGAAGCGTTACCTGTCTTCTTAGCCTCTATATCCTGGCTTGACCTTCAGCGTCTAGTGGTTCAATCTTTTAGTTCTATTGTTCGATGCAGAGCAATGGTTTCTGGATAACTGAAACAAAAAATAATCAAGACAGAGACACACATAAGGACACCATTTTCATTATGGGTTCAATAAGAACTGACCTAAACCCATCGCTTAAGCCTTGCACGCTTCTTTATGCTTCTTGGTTCATTTAGAAGCTTTCTTTATCTATCTCATCAATTTGGAATCCATTTATTGTAAGCCCAACCTTTGCAATGCATAGGTAAGTTGTAGCTTTTATTTTATTTTGTTACACAAATGTATTCTCCTATTGAAAGTAATTATGTTCGAGGTACTGTTGGGTATTAGATGTAAACACCTTTTATAGCAAAAATTCAAGCCTTGGTTCGGGATATTATGATTTATGAGAGATGAGTCATTTTTATTAGACTCAACTCTCGTTGGTTAAGTTGTAGCTTTTGGTTGTGTATTTTGAGCTTCACACAACCTCTTCTTGATTTGAAATATAAAAAACTCCTTGTAAGACATTTCCTTACTTTTGTTATTAGGCTTCTAATTGCTCTTAATAGATCATTAATGCGGTCTTTGATTCTGAACTCTTATCTCATGATCTCCATCAATCACTTGTCATTTGTTTTTAGAAAATGAAAAAAGCTTTCTCGATGAGTCTCCTTGCATAATAAGTATGCCATAATTCTTTCCATTCTGAAATGTGGATGGAAAATGACTTCTCGCCAAACTGATTTACCCTAAATAATAATCACTCATGCAGCCAAATGGTAAGAAAATTGTTAGCAGTGTCTTTATTATAATTTTCTCATAATTGATCAGTTGATTTTAATTTCATTTTCCCTCGTGTTTCGTCAATGTAATTTTAATATATTTCATAATTAATTTTTATTAATTCAAGAATATTTTAGAAGATTATTTTCTCCAAGTAATATCTGGATTTGTGAGCTGATAGTTTAAAAAATTGACACTTTCTCAATCCCAATTCACTTAAAATAATATTTAAAATAATTAAATATACACTATCCAACTTAAATCAATACGGCGTATGTACCAGAGTCATCTCCCTCATTCACCAAACTTGTTCTCCTTGCATATTAAGTAATCCTCTATATAGGACGAAATTGACTTATTTCTATCAAGCAACAAGGGCAAGTTTGGTCCATGAAAGGAGAACTAAACTTCACTTCAGCGTTTTTCTAAAACCCAACGAGAGAACACATATTTGAATTGTACAGACTTAAATAAATTAGATAAGCTTTGTTAGAAAATCGATTGTTTTCAAACCAATGTGAATGAGATTTATTTCTAGCTTTCAGCAACCGAATTAAGCTTTTTAACATCATTTGTGAAGAAGTCCCTCGGCTTATCTAGAAAATGAAAATGGAACATGATATTAAAGTCCCATTCGATTTGTTTGGTTATATTAGTCAAGTAGTGAGCCAGTCTTCTAACTAGTTTGATTAAGAGTTTTGTACAAATCAACCAGGTTGAATTTTATATTTTTACTCCTTAATCAGTCTGAAACAATGTTGTTTCAAGTTTTTTTTTTTAACAAAAAAAAAAAGACCATATTTGAGTTTTGATTACTCTGTTTTGTTAAATTATGTGCAGTTTATACATAAGATTCCCTTTATTTGTAGATTAATACCCTATTTAGTTGAATATTACTCTTTTTAGAGTTATATATATGTGTGAATATTTTTATATATTTTAATTGTGTTATTTTATTTAATCATAATTGGCTTGACCTCATTTCAATCGCGGTTAGATCACTAACTTTTAAACCATAACTTTGACTAGTTTAATGACCAATTTAGTTTTTTGTTTTGTTTTGGGTACTTCTACACTTTGCCATCTACTTGACACAGCAGAAATTCATTTTTTTGCACTTTACCTTTTATCAAATCCATTTTTAGCACACCAAATACAGCCTAATATAATATTAGGAAAAATGACATTAAAATGATACTTAAATTTGAAGATTTCCATTTAAGCACACATGACCAAACTAGGACTTTGAAATTTGCTGAAAAGATCAAATTAACCTTTAAATTTTTCTAATAAAAAAAATAGCAAGCACCCTCACCGGTCAGCTGGTGGCCATCGCAGGAGCTCAGGCGAGCTGCCGATCACCTAAGATCTGGCGGTCAACTGATGACATGTCACCAGAGCTCCGATGACTGTAAACTATATTTTTTTTTGAAATTTTTTCAGGTCCAATAATGCGATTAACAAATTTTTTAATACAATTAACAAGATCGTTATAGCATTTAACAATAGGTTTTTCAAAAAATTCAAAAATTAGTATTTTTACAACTTTGGTAATGCAGTTAACGAGTTATTTAATACTAGTAACAAGTTCAGTATAGTAGTTAATAATAGATTTTCTAAAAATTCACATAGTGACGTTTTTATAACTTCAGTAATACTGTTAATAAGTCATATAACGATATTAACAACTCTTATAATGCCATTAACAAAATTTCCTATGAAGGTTGATGTTTTTAATATTATCTCCCTATAAAGATTACACAACAGAATTTTTTCATTTTTCAGACAATCACTATGGTTATGAGAGTTGTTAATATCATTACATGACTTGTTGAGTTGTTAATGGCACTATGAGTGTTGTTAATATCGTTGTATGACTTCTTAATCACATTACTCAAACTATAAAATGCCGCTTTTTGAATTTTATAAAAAACTTATTGTTAACTGTTATACTAAATTTGTTAATAACATTATAAAATTTGTAAACTGTGTTACGAAAGTTGTAAAAATATCTAAATTTCTTGGAAAACCTATTATTAAATGCTATAACGAACTTGTTAATCATATTAAAGAACTTGTTAATCAATTACTGGACTTGAGAAAGTCCCAAGAAAATTGTTGCCAATTATTAGAGCTTTGATGACCGGTCATCTGTAGGCCACCTGAGCTCAGGCCACTAGCTACCCACTTGAATTCCAGCGGTGGTTATTGATGCTAGAGCTTCAGTGACTGACTCGCTGGTAAGAGTGCTTGAAGGTTTTTTTTTTAAAAAAAAAAAATTAAAGGGTAATTTGGGCTTTTCATTAAATTTCAAAGTCCCAATTTGGTTGTGTGCGCTCAAAAGGATATTTTCATTATTTAAGTGACCAAATGAGGATTTTCAAATTTAAATATTATTTTTGTGTCATTGTCCCATACTGTTATAGCCAAGACACAACTAATCATGCTAGGAAATAGATTCCTTTCAAACCATTGTCAGAAAAGCGATACACAATAGGCTTGTCATAATTTCTGTTTCTCAAGCATTTTTTTTTTCATTTTATGTTAAATCAAAGGGAAAACCTTGTACAAATTCTCCAGGAAAATTATTTTCAATCATTGATAATTGGAAAAATGACTAAAAAAGAAGCTTGAAATTCTTCACTTTCAATTCAGGCACCTAAAAGATGAAATTATAAAATGGTGTAAACATCCTCATTTTCATATCCTAATATTTAACTAAATTTTTATTAAGATAGAATAGATAGAGATTATATATATATATAGACAACTAAAATAATTAAAATCATATATATTTGTGTATATCTATAAACACATATATATATGAATAAATAAATAAAATAATAATATTAAAAAGTCCCATATTGACCAAATAATGATGGATAAAACACAAACGTTGAGAAGTCCCACATCGACTAAATAATAAGTAAATGGAGCTCTTGAAGGCTATATATAGGTAGTAGTAGAGGAGACTTTGAAGTTAATATAATGTTTAGTCTTTATAATTTGTCTTTACTTTAATTTTGATCCTTATAATTTTAAACTACTCATCCGGTCTTTAATATAAGACTCATTTAACTAATTTGATTAGATTAAGAAGTTAGGTAAATTAGTTAATTATAAGAAAAGTGATACATTTTTCCTAAAATACCATAATCATCTTTCTTAATACCCCTCTCCCTCTCTACTTAATTATGGTTGAGAAAGTATCCATAAGGATAATTTAGAGAAAATTGATAAATATGAGAAATGGGTTTTATATTTAGGATCAAAACTAACTCAAGAATTGGGTCTTATATATTAGTTTTAGTTTTTAAAGTTTTATTCTGTATACAACTATAGGCCTTATAGTTTGATAAGGACCTGAACCTAAAACTA